TCCTTTTATATTATTTTGATTAGTTAATAACACTAGCAAAAATAAATGTAAACCTGCACCTGCTCGTGTTAATATCAAAAATATGGAGATTACCGATGACGACGACTTAGTAGAAAGTTCAAGTTTGGCTGATGCATATTCTAAGAGGAATAAGGGTGGCTTTGTAAGGAATTTAAATCAAGTTAATAAAAAATTGCAAAGCACGTCTGATACAATTTTTGCTCAACAGACAGAATCCTCGTCACCTACATCAATGGATATTGATATTGATACTATTGCGGATGATCATGTCACTTCTATGCGAACACGAACGAACGTTTACGACCGCATTCCACTTGTATGCGAACGTCCCGCTTCGACTAGCATGCAACCTACCGTTAATACTAACGTTCCAGGACGTACTACCTCTATCAGGATAGATGGTAGAAATGGTCGTCCTGTAAATTCGTCATCTAATATGAGAAAGCGAACATTTTTGGAGCCTATGAGTTTCAGAGCAATGTTTTCGGCAACTCGTATGCGCCCTAATACTTCTTTTGAAGCGATGATGAATCCTCCTAGTAGAACAACTCAAAACGTTACTTATACGAGCGATCAATCAAGGATTAATCTATCGTCAACTACGGTTATTCAAGAAAAAAATTTTCAACCACCAAAAATTTCTAATACGTCAAATACGGTTTTTCAGGAAAGCCGAGGTGGCAGTTCTACATCCATTTCATCATCACAGCGATCTATTAATAATCCTGAAATGTTATTACATACTTCTTTAACGAATTCTGGGGCAAAACAGGAAATTACAACTGGGCTGTCAATTCAATCCAATGCGATGAGTGAACAATCGTCAAGAACAGCGTCAAATTTCGTTCCTAATATAAGTCGTGGTATTAATCCTATTTTATCAAGGTTTCCTCGATCATCCAATGATAACGGAAGATCATTTACGAATACAGATGCAAGTAATAATATCTCGAATCCAGTCATTAATCTGCGCGAATCTGAATTATCGCATACTACTGGAACGAAAGAACAAATTTCAAGTATTGCACCGGTAACTGCTAACCATGGAGAAGATACTACCACATCAAGGTATAATCAATCTCGAAATCTTGGATTTAGTAGACAGTACATAGCACCATCTGTCAGTGAAATAACGGGATTTACTAAACCTCGGCCGATAAATTTACTTGATCCAGAATCGGGTGTAATGTTAACGGCTAATCCAAAACTTAGAATTTCTTGGGGGATAGAGACAACCCGGCAGTTTATAATACCAGAGAATAAAGCGACGTGGCGTGGTCTAGCAAACGCATATAATGGAACAGAAAATAGATCGCGAGTCTCTAATAGTAATACTTCGAGAATGTCAATTGCTTATTTATGTAGCGATGATTTGTCTTGTCAAAATGGCATCTTGACTTCATCGCGTAATGAAAATAGTCAAAAACTTCCTTCAAACTTCAACGACAAACATAATGTGAAAAGGTATTGCCGAGTATGTCATGAAAAATTTGCGCCACTTCCGACGGATATAACTTCTTACAAATGTCCAAGGTGTTCGCGACATTTTAGTTTATATAATCTTGAATGGCCACTTCGAAAACAACCTAAAGAAAAAGGGAAAGCCAAAGAGGTAAGTTAAATGAATGTATTGGATATCATTAAATTATTTTAATAAATATTTAAGTTATAGCAAATTTAACTTTTGGAATAGATTAAGAATCGTGGCGATACTGCAAATCGTCGAGAAAAAAAGGCAACTTCACTGGCGACGATGACGATGATTACCAACAATAACAAAGGAAAGGCGAAAGTAGTTGTACCTGCAACCCCTGCAATTCATGTTGTAGACAAGAAAGAACATAACGAAAGAATGCAGGCGATAATTTTTGCAGAAAGCAACGTCGAGTGGCTCCCTCTCCCCGGTATTGATAAAGAGAAATTTGAAGTAGGTGAGGAACAGCCTACCGCTGGAAGAGGTAATTAGAATTTCATTTATAAAAGAATCACGTATAGATTTATATAATAGAAAAAAAGGAAAAAAAAAAAATAAAATCTATTCGTATAAAATATCTTAATAAAATATCATCTGCATTGATTTGTAAATGAGTAATTTATTTCCAACTTTATAAAAATTTTCAATATTGAATATTGTTTAATTTAAATATTTCAATGCGATATCAATTTTAATAAGTTAGATTAGCTATAGTTTTAAGTTGAATATGTTCAAAATTTTTTTCAACAAGTTTCTCACAGATTTTCACTAATTTTTTTTTTTAGCCTTCAGCGTTTCGATGAAACGCAAAAAAAATGAAAAGCCCACCATTAGTGAGGTTTGGTACAAGCCATTCCTCAGATGGAGCACAAGTACCGGATATGTGCACTTAAATTCAGTCTGGCGCTATATTGAAAACCATACTTCGGACGATAACAATATCAATCTGAGAGCGGTTAAAAAGAAAGTTTGTAAAACATCTCAGAGCGACTTCGAAGAAAACGACTTCCGTGCTGCATCCTTACAGGGAGGTTATGCAACTTATCAGGGTGACTGGTAAGTTCTTATAATAAGATCGAATATTTTAAAAGTCAATTATCATTTAACACTTTTTGTAATGATAGGGTTCCATATGAAGACGCCCAGAAGATTGTCGAAGAACTCGGTCACTCCGAGTTACTTCGAAAATTTATTTTGCCTCCCAGCGGGAATGTTACAGCGACTCCTTCCGTTCCTTTGGAAGTCGTTACCTTTAAGAGGAGCTATGAGGATGTAGATGCGGAGGACTCTGATGTCGAACCTTCGCAGAAAAAGTGCAGGGGGAAATAATAAAACTTGGTCGGTGCATGGTTGACGCACTCAACAACCATCTTGAAGATTATGAAACATGCGATATTAAGCTTGCTAAGGAACTCAAAGTGGTTGGTTTCCAAACCGAAGGTAAATTTGCCCTTCCTGTTGCAATTTTGCTTTAAATGCTTCTGAAAAATATAACCTATAATTTTCCTATTTGTAGGATACAATCGTTCCATCTCAACAGCATTCATTGTTGGCCGTGGACTACCTTGCAGAAAAAAAACAATATCTCGGTTATCCTGCCAACAAGAGTATTGGACTTATACAGCTTGTATAATCTTCTTGAGGCCATCTTTTCTTTTCCGGATGAATTATTCATTCATTGAATGTTAACCAGAAATTTAAGATTGCAAAAGCTTGCAAACTTTGTTGCTTAATGATCCAATCTGTGGATTGTTATATAAATTATTTATGGTTAAAATTTTTATTGAGGATAAAAAGAATTTGTTGTAACTTAAATACTTTGAATATGATAATGCTAGTGATTGACTGAAAGTTTATTCGGTGTCTTTGCGATATAGTTTTTAGTTACGAATGTGGTCTTTTTTTGCTAAGGTGGTGCTCCTTCATATATGATGTGTTCAGTGCATTAAAAAAAAAAATACCATAATAAAGCATTTTGGTTTGTGTATGCTTGCGTTTGTATGATTGTGATTTTTGGTACAGAAATTTCAGTCACATGATTTACTACGCGTCAGCAGCATAATTACTTGAAAGGTTTTAAAATCAGTTTACCTCGTTCTATAAGTTTTGCAATCTTTTAAAATTTAAGAATTCCTAGCTAATTTATCATAATATATTAGTAATAATATGTAGTTAAATTAATGGTTTGCGTTATATATTAGAAAGAAAATTAAATCAAAATATAAGCTTTAAAATTTAATTAAGTTTATATAAAAAACCAAAGTATAAAAATGAAATAGTAATTATTTGCAAATGGTTGTAACTAATTCTAACTTAAAAAAAAAAAAAAAAATTGTTATTGTAATTATTTGCAAGTCCATCTTTAAAAATTTAAAAAGTAATAAGTATTCAAATTGTAAAAATGATAGGAGGAATAACAAATAACAAATAATAATATAGTAAATAGAATAGAAATGAAAAGAATGTTTCGATTATTGAAGGAAGAAAAGCACAAGTTAATCAGTTCAGAAATGGATAAATAAAATTTTACATTTTACGAGATCTAATTATTTAATAATTCATCTTGATTCATATATTAATATCTCACTCTGTTTTACTACTTATTTGACTCCTATGTACCGTTCTATACCGTTCTACATAATAATTATTATTTGCAAAACAGCAAGCAGTAGTAACAGTTTGCTTCCAAATTTTCCAACCGTGAAATTACACTTTCTGCCAAGAATCAATCTTCCCAAGGTATTCAAAAGAATTTTATTTGCTCAATTGCTCCAAAATAAGGTTTAATTTCTTTCAACATGTTTTATTTTATTTTTATTTTTATTTTTTTAATAAAAAAAAATATTTTAAAATATGCTGATTTTCATACTAAGACGAACTTCCAAAGTTAGGGTGCAATTTTTGATATGAAAATGAAAGTGTAAAAAAAAATACGTCATGCTTGGATACTCTCTCTTTATTAGCTAGTAGCCGAATTCTAAATTTGAAATTTGAGATGGATAGTAAAGGCAGTTTGGTTGCTTATACTTTTGATTAGTCTTAACATGTAATAGTTTCATTTTAAATCCGAGAATGTACACCAAAAATAAATTGGGCCCTTATCAATTGATATTTATGTTTGAAAATCTTTAGGTTGGGATTGTATAAAATGTCGTATACATTGTCCCGTGAAATTCGTTTGTATTGTTTTCCAGAAACAAGTTGTTTCCCTTGTTTAGCTTGTTTAGGTAAGTAATTAAACATTTCGGGATACAATGAAGCTGCGCATAAAAGTAAGGATCTTCAACATGAAACTCGAATTTTCTGTATAAATTCATCATGGATTGGACTTTACCAAAAAGAAAAAAATTACAAAAAAATACCGTATTCCATTTCTTTATTTTTTTATTTTTTTTCCTTAATTGTTACGATATTCCATTCCTTTGTACAAATAGATTACAGCCGGACTGTAAAAAAGAAAATTCCTTCACTATAAAAAAATATATATATATAAAATACACAAAATATGTCAGAGAACAAGATGATTGCGAACCTTACCAAATTATTTCAACATAAAGATATGTGGAGATACGTCTCTATATTTGTAACTTCCTTGTCCTTAATATTGTACATTTCCATATTGATTGGCGCATTAACTAGAGGTGTTTATATAAGTCAATTCACCTTAAATAAAAATATCACCGGCATGCAAACTGTAAAATTCTCCCTTTTCGATTACTTTTGTGTCGATGGTGATATAAACTGTATGAAAGGTGAGGATAATCATTCATTTTCTGTGAAATTTCTAAAATTTGTTCAAATTTTTTTTTTTTTTTTTTTTTTTTTTTTTTTTTTAGTACCAAATTTCGGTAAAGACCAATCGGGAGAAATAGAAAATCGGGACGGAAAAGATGAACTTAACTCATTTGAGGCTCTTCGAAAGATATTAGAAGCTTTCGTGAAATTCGGTCGTAATTTAGCTTACCCCATCCTAGCCGCTGCTGTTATTGATTTTATAACTTTGATATTATTAATGATCAATCAAAAAGTTCAAAAAGTTGACATCTTATTTTATACAATGACTAACTTTTTAATCCTTACAACGATCACCCTTAATTTAGGTTTTATAATTAGCACTTCAAAAATCTTGATAATCTTTGATGTAGTTTGTCTTCGTTCTTTTCTCGGTATCATAGATTATCAAACCGGTCCCGCTATTATGTTATCAGCATGTAGTCTTATTTGTTCAATCATCGTCCTTATCATTATACGAGCTCATGGTTATGATAATGAAAAAGGAAAGGAGCCCACTTGTTAACGGGTTGTTTCTTTATTTATTTGTAATTTCGTAACGGAAAAATTAAAAAAATAAAAATAATAAAAATTTGGAATATTTAACTTTAAAGTTCTTCATTATTCAATATGACCTATTATCGAAATATTGGTTCACCGACAGCCTAACATACGAATTTAAAAAAAAAAAAAAAAAAAAAGTTCCTTCAAAATTCATATTTTTTTATAAGAAAAATGGCGAACTTGCTCGATGACCTGGGTTCCTATAATTTCTTTCTAATAGTAAAAAAAAAGGGCAAATGAATAGAACCTCAATTACAAAACAACCCTTCCAATTACAATAGCAAGGTTACACTCTTATCTACCAGCCCAGGTCTACTTTTAATCGAAGATTCAAAATTTCATTCTTTTTTCTTTTTAAAAAAATAAATATTACTTGCATGTTACATTAATATGGATTCTTGCTAAGAAATTGACCTATGAACCTTTTTGATATAGTATAAATCACTTTAAAAGAACTTTTGTAAATCCTCAAAATAAATTCCCTTTGTGTGAAGTCTATTGACAAAATTTTAATATCGAGACGTATGTAATTCTGATAAATTGACAAGATTAAAAAGATTTAATAAACTTCACCTTTATCCAAAAAAACGTCTTGAAAAAAAAAAAAGTAAGACGAAATAAATTCATAAAACGATACATCGCGGAGGAATAAATCATATTAAAGCGACAAACCACGCGGCGGAAATAGATGCATCAAAATTTTGCGTTCGGATCGTGTTTTCGATGATCCAAAAATATTTGTCACTAAAAAATAATAATGAATGGTCAAGTCGTGTATCCACTTAAACGCACATACAATATCCCATCCACGTACGAAGATCTCAATCAAATAGAACAACTTGGAAGTATTACAAATCGGCATTTAATGAATAATTTGATGAATGCATAGGAAAATTACATAATACATAATTTATAAACAATAAAAATAAATAAAAATAAAGTCCTTTTCACATAAAATAAATAATACACATAATATGTTCACATGTGCCATATAATATTTATTTATTTACATTTTATTTGTTTAGCACTTTATACACGTACTTTAATTAATAATAGAAATAACGGGTATTCTTTGTCCTTGAATTTCTAAATCATTACAAAACGCGTATGGAAAATGGGTTGAAAGATTCTGATTGTTTCAAACCATTTTCTAAAGAAACTTCTTACATTCCAAACATCTTTTGATTAAAAAAAAAAAAGGAAATAAACATAAAAGCGCATACGTTAAAAAGGAAATGGCTTTCTACATTTGTCGTCAATTAATAATACAAAAACATAATCTGAACAATACTTAATATTAATAATAATAATAATAAAATAAAAAAAGACACGCAATTCATACCTAATTAGCAACGTGATATCATCGTCATGTCACGACATAGCATCATATTTTTTTTTTTTAGAAACAAGGTAGGAAAAAGCTTCCATTGCAACCAAAAGAAGGATTGTATATTTGATGATGTGTCACGAAATGTTTGACGGTAAATTTCAAATGTTTTCCCTTTGTTTTTTAATATTTTTTTTTTAAAAAAAAAAAAAAAAAAAATTCAATTGAACGTTGTAATAAAAATGTCATGATTTCAAATCATACAACGAAACCAATTGGTTCAATGACATTGCTTAAAATTGATGTGAATGATGAAATATTTTTTATTTTAATTGAACCCCTTTTACATCGCTTTATTTTTATCTGAATTCATTACATAAACATCATCCGAATATTCGGTAATACATTAAATTTTCAAATGATGACATAATCACATTCATATCCATTGTTTTTACTGTATGTCAATCCTATTTTTAGCCCCCCAAAAGAGCCAATCACCGTTATGAAAAAAATAAAAAATGGAAATTTTTTTTTTTTTTTAATCCCAAGCCAATTCAATGCCGAGTTAGAAAAAAGGTGTATTTGATTGACCTAAGAAATCTTGATTTAAAAAAAAATCCTAAAAGGAAAAAGGAATTAGCCAAAGGAAAAAGTTATTTCCCAGAAATAAGTGAAAATTATTTTGCATTCATCATGCAACAAAGGACTAGATGTTCAAATATGGTAATTTATTTTCAAAACATTTACGGAGCAACAAATAAAAAGAGACTATGTTTCTTGAGATCCACATAATTTTTAATATAATGTTATTCACGGATAAAGTATCACCGCATTATCATCACATATTAATTAACGCTCGTATCACTTAAGAAAAAAAAATAACCCGACACGCGAGAATTTTATATTGAAAAAATTTTTTTTATTTTTATTGAAGAAAGCAAAATGGAATCACAGCAAATGAAAAAAAATAAGAGAAAATAAACGTAGATCCATAGACGAAATGAAGAGATAAAGAATAAATGAAGAGATTTAACAGAAAAAAAAATGAATTTAATACAAGCTGGCAAAATTTGGTGGTGTGTCAAAAACGTTATTATAAAAGTAATATTGATCATTTTGAGGAGAAACAACCTGCCCTTGAAATTCCGGGTAAGGATTAAAATCAATACAGGCATTATTATTTGTTGTCTGATGATTCGAGAGAAAGTAATTGTCTATTATATCAAAATTAAACGTGGGAGCGGTGGTCTGATATATTGAAGGAAGAGGAGGAGAAGGCGAGGGGGAAGGAGTTGAAGAAGAAGTAGGAGGAGTTAATGAAGTTCCTTCTAAATGTGTACTTTGTAAAGGTGTGCTTATTGAGGGTGCCGTTGCTGTCGATAGTCGTAGAGGTAAAGAATAAGGGCTGTAGGAAGGTGATCCTTCCTCTTTCAAAGAGGAGGAGGATGTGGTAAACTTTTTATAAATTGTAGAAATCCTTCTGTAATGAATCTCGTAAACGTGATCGGCCAACTTTTTATAAACATCTTTTTCTTCAGGCAAAGCGTTTTTCCATAAAATGCTGGTAACCTTACTTATCACACGCATGTTGGAAGTTCCTTTACGGTTTGATTCTTCATGAACGTTTTTTCTACAAAGCAAGAAGGCGTTTGGACACCGTTTTGGTCGTCGGAACGATAATTTCGTTAAATTGTCGGATGAGGGAATAAATGTTTCCGGGTTATTATACAATGGTGGAAAAATATTTCTTCTATCCAGTCTATCAATTAATGACATTGCTAAGTCTTCTATCGAAAAGTTATGAGTAGTCATGATTATCGAAATTTTTTAGAAATTATTTTATTTTATGTTTTTTTTTTTTTATTTTTATTTTTTTTTAAAAAAAAAGGGTGCTTAAGTTTAAGAGATGTAGTTTGAAATAAGGTGAGGAAAACTCTTAATATGAAACTTAGATTTTTCTGAGAAGATTGGAATCTAGTGAAAAAAAAAAAAAAGAGAAAAAGAAAAGCCTTATATTTATACAATATTTTTGAATTACTTTATTTATACGTAGGTTAATTTATAACTGATGGTTAATTTTAAAATGAACGATAACAATATATATATATTATTATATTCACGTTATATTTTTTTTAAATTAAAATTGATATTATTTAACAAACAATGAACTGGTTATTATTTTTAAAAAAAAGAAAGAGTTTTTGTACAGTTATATATATAAATAATTTTATTTATTGAATTTACTAAAAAAAGATTAGTTAAATGATGTGATGGTGATAATTAGAACTACCAAGATGTGTCACCAACTCTTCCTAAATTAAGGAGTTCGCTTTTATACAAATTAATCAACAATCTGCACCGAGAAAAAAATTATCGGAAATTATGAAACTAGCGTGGAAGCAAATTTTTTTTGACTCAGCAAAATACATTAAATCATAGTACAAATTAATAATCTTAATGTATCGCAAAGGATATCAAAACTAAATATATTTTACTTACGCAACACGAAAAAAGCCTTTGGCAGAAAAAAAAAAAATCTTCAAAAGAAAATAATCCGCAATAAAGGATGAATTTTATTAAAAAGTTTGGAACAGGTCGCTCGTTCGGTTAATCGATTAAAAGGTATGGTAAAAAAAAAGAAACCTTCGTTGCGAATACTTTAAAGTATTTTAAATATTTTTTAACTAGATCACAGCGAAGCCGATCATCATTATCGTCTTAATCATCCAAAAAAAAGGTCATTTCGGGACTGGATTCGATAAAAAAAAAATTTTTTATTTTTCTCTGACCAAAGATAAATCAAGGAGGACCCTTTCCATTACTATATTGTCTTCAAACGAGGGGATCATTCATCTAATACCAAATTAGAAGCTTACACAAGGTTAATTAACATCGGATGAAATTCTCCATTAAGTAATCATGGACCAGCTGCCGTATTATCCTGCATTTAATTAAATGCACGTTTTTAATTTGTTTGTCATTATGTAAAAGGTAATAACTTTCGACCAAATTTATATTTTTCCAGGCAAATAAATAAAATAAAACAAAATAAAGAGTCCCTTCATAATTAACGCGATACAATAATCAGCATTACAAAGGTTAAAGTTGTTTATAACTACATCTTGTGTTCGTTTGTTATATTAAATTTTTTTTTTTTTTCGACTTTAATGGTAATCGAACAAAAGACTCCAATGACAATAATAACTCGACGTAATTGATTTCTCCATTAACACATCTTGATAATGAAATAAAAGAAATGCACACCCTCTTCGTAAATGATTTATCATAAAACGCGATAAAAAAAAAAAAAAAAAAAAAAAATCGCGTTGAACTCGAATAACGTAATAACGTAATAATTGGATTTGCGTTAATGATTCGCTTACCATATACAGTTTGGTCTTCAGTCCATTGATAAAAAAATTTAACCGAGATTAATTTATGGACAATCATTTAATTAAATACATTTTTTTAATTTAACCTTAAAAATCCTTCCGTCAGACTATATGTTGGGATGTGCGGTACATAAAATTAATTTTTTATCTCAGGGAACAAAAAAAAAAGTTAATAATGATTAAAGATTATTACATGATGTCAATAAAAATAAAAAATAAAAATGAAATAAATTTATTCATGTATTAGCTTGCATATAAGTTTTCATCTCACTTGTCGGGGATGAAACCGTCGAAAAAATTGATTTCTAATGTTTATTCCAAAGAGTTTTAAAAAGCGATTTATAATTTTATTACCAAATATTTGACATAATTCATCTCATTAGATCTGATGTATGTTTGCAAAATCCCATGATATTCCTGAAACAAGGATCAACAATAACCAAAAAAAATCACTTATTTATTACGTAATAGAAATATTACTAATTAGCAAATATTTGACGCATAACACACGCTACATGGTTACATTTGACAAGAACACAATTGACGGCTATTATTAATCTCAACGAAAAAGCAACAATTAACTTGATATCATTAAGAATTTACACACGTATTAGTTATAAATAACTTCACGAGGTTCCATTGATGTCACCCCATTGCATCAATAGTGATCTTAATTTGGGATCTCTTTCCGAGATTTACTTCACTTTTTCTTTGTCTGTTTTCACGAATATGCGTAACCCTTTCTTTTTACCATTTTAGAGAGAAATAAATAAACAAAATAACATGTTCATACAAGCCTTTTACCAACCAAGAAAAGATCAACGTTAAGCAATTTCATGCAAGACTCACCGCATGTTCGTTAATTATCTCCTAAATCTTCTTCAAGTGCAATAGGGAAAAACAAAAAGCCTTGTTCGATGTAGGTTTGGTCTTTTGATATATTAAAAGTTAAGTAAAAATAAAGTTTATCAATTGAGTTTATAATTTTCTGATAAAAAATTCTACAAAATAAGATTTCGACAATCATAACCTTAAAAAAGAGACTTGTTTCAAACCGGACACCAATAGATTGAGAACATGGTTGGCGTAGCAAATTCAAATTGAACTGCGATTGGATGATTTTAAATTTTAATTTATTAGATTTCGAAAAAAGAAGAAATCAAAGATTGTTTATATGGGGCTCGAACATCTGATATTATTTTGAACATAATTCCTGCTTCTAATATGCAAATCTTAAATGATTTTTAAATGAAGAATTTAGCAAAAGACGATATTATCTCTATCTATGATGGTAATATGTCACTGAATATGAATGCTTTAGAAGATGATATAAAAGGTTACGTGAAGAAAAGTGTGATAACATTTATTGTATAAAGGTGTATGTATATATATTTATTTACATTCTAAATAGTCTAGTTACTTTTCTTTGATGTAGACTTATTTGTCCCCCTCTCCTCCCTGTAAGAATGGAAATTCTTTCAGTTCACCCGTTCTTGAAATCTAGCCAAGTGTGATGTTTGGGATATCTCACATACTGTACCGTAAGTAAGTATAGCTTTCCGCATGATTAAAGGAAATATATAATTCCAAAATGCTAGACTTTACTTGGTTCATAAGCCGAGCGTGAACACGATTCTAATAAATCAGTTTCAAATTTTTATATTTGTTAGATTATGGTTTCATACCATAAATCATTTTATTTGTAATATCAAATGACTAATAATGAAATGCAAAAATTATTCTCAAGATTTTTTCTTACTTGTACTCTCAAATCTCAAAAACGTGAATTACAGAAAATGCTAAGACTTGTGTTGGCAACGCGATTCAAGTATTTGAGTCCGTGGTAGAAAGGAAGAGTTTATTCGACTTACTTCTAAAGGTTAAAGGTGTTTGTTTGCTCTTGCAGAATAATGATAATATTTTATTCATCACGGAAAAAAAGACAGAAAAGAGGATAGGATATATATTAACCACATTCATTCAAGAAGATATGTGTTGTAATTAGCTGGCATCACTTTTCAATCATTTATTTTTTTTTACTTTTTTTTTTTTTTTTTTTTTTTTTTTTTCTTTTTAAGGATTGTTTTACTGAACAAACCTTATAAACAATGCCATAGAAAAATTTATCAAATTTGTGAATTCATCTTGATGAGAATCCGAGATCGTGAATCCTTTTTCATTCTTTGTGTGACCGATTGACAATCTTCAATTACATCAGATTAATATAGAAATGTCAATTATTTATTTGAACTTTTCATTTGCAAATTATCAAACCATCAATGAATGGCACACGGTCAAATGGCTGGGAAAAGGTATTTATATTGTAATAGAAATTATCAATCACAATCGAATTGATCTAAATATTACGAAATTTTATAATTCAAAATTTCATTGTAATTTGTCTTGATTTTATCTATGATGAGAGCGTTGGCGTTCGAAATAGGTCAAATCATTATCTTGCTGGGAAAACAGTGAACAAATGAAATGAGTTTGTATAATGAACTGAACGAACATCCATTTGTAACAGAATATGATTCAAAATCATTTTAGCAGATTATGATGTCAGTTATTCATCAATCATGATTTTTTTTTATTTACTTATTTTTTTTTTTTTTTTTTTTTAAATAAATAATGATAATATGATGATAAGACGACATTGTTAGGAAATCATTTCACATTCATTTACCTAATGCCAAACAAATGCAAACATGATCATCAAAATATTTTTTTTTAAAAAAAAAAAAACAAACAAGACAACATTCTAACACTATTATATAGATTAATCGCATTGAAGGAATACGAATACAATATGAAAAAGGAACAACTCTATTCTTATCGATGTACGAATTCTAACTATATCAAAAAAAAAAAAAAAAATTGGAATTTTTTTTTTTTTTTTTCACATATAAATATAAATAACAATTAATCTTTAATTATAAAATTATAAAATTATTATTTACACATACGTATAACACCAAAAAGAATGTTTTCAAATCTATTAAGCGTATCAAAAATTAGGAAGAAGAGGAGATATGAAAATCTTAAACGAACGAATAAATTTTTTTTGAGATTGATCACGAAATTTCCTCCACAAATTACAAATGATCCATTAACGCAGCAATTCTTTAATGGTGGTTCCTTTTATTAATTTTTACCTGCACCCACCTTTTTTTTAAAAAAATAAAAAAAAAAAATTTCGAGAAAGATGGAGGTTTTGAGGTTTTTGATTTTCATTGTCATTGATCTTTCTTGTAGAATATATAGATTTAGTTATTAATTTATAATAATTGGAATCTCTAAATAAAAGGTAGTTTTAGCTTTCATATGTTAAATTCATAATAATGTTAACCGAAATTTTTTTAATATTTTTATAACATCGATCATTCCAATCCTTAAATTCTTTAATTTTTGTTATTAATACAAAAAACTTATGTAAAATGATGAGAATAAAGCCAACTTTGATATGGTTCACTATTTGTGATTAAAAAAAAAAATCCAAACTTGACACGGAAACGATGAGTCATTTTTAATCTCCATCTTATCAAATAAATAAATAAATATAAAAGGTTAAAATTTTTTTTTAGATCAAAGATCATGTGAATCCTAACCATATAAAAAATTATATAAATACCTACCTACTATTTTCAAAATCAAAGTTTTTTTTTCCTCGGTACATTTAAAAAAATTAAATTTGTGTCCCATTTTTTTTATCATCTTTCTTTTAATATCCGTGAATTATTATGGTGCCTAGAGTTCAACGGTTGAATTTGCATTGGTCACGTCAAGTAAACCATTCGTTTAGATATAAATCTCGTATTCGACCTTTTCCTTATTTTTCCTCACCGAACTCATTTTTCCAAAGTACTTTTTCAACATCATCAATAAATAAAGCAGAGACAATCCAATTCACATCATTACATCATAAAATAAGGACAGTATTATCCAATTCAACTGCACCACCTCCACCACTTCCACCTACTTTATCGTCACCATCATCTTCCTCGTCGTCATCATCATCTCCTTCAAAAGCAATAAAATCCACGGTGCAATCTCGAGCATATTCTCCGCAACAATTTTATAAAAATCGAATCCTTGATCAATATGTTTCCCAACCAGTAAATACGATTACATTACGACAACTTGTTGTATTCGGACGTAACCTTACAGAAGATAGATTATTGAAAAGTGGTAATTATGTTAGAACGGAGCTACCAATTAGGTTGGCGCATAGGATAAGGGATTTTCAGAATTTACCTTTTATCGTGGGTACAAATCCTCATATTGAGATGGTATATGATTTATATTGGTCAGCGTTTGAAAAATTAAGAAAATTTCCAACAATAACGAATTTGGATGAAAATGATGAATATTGTGATACCGTTAAGGGATTATTAAAGGAACATTTGGTCGTTATTCCTCAATTGGCTTTGGGTATATCAGAATGTTCTCAACATTTGCATCCTGATCAACTTGACAGATTTATGAATACAATGTTAAGATCAAGAATTTCTAGAAGAGTTTTGGCCGAACAGCAAATTGCCCTAACTGAAAATTGGAATGATCCCGGTTATGTTTATGGACAAGATGGACATGATGGATATATTGGAATCGTATCTACTCAATGCAAATCCGGCGAAATTGTTCAAAGGTGTGCAGATATGACGAGAAATGTTTGTAGAACGATTTACAAAGTTGAACCTCCTCAGGTTCTTGTGGACGGTCATGTGGACACCACCTTTGCTTACATACCAGATCATATTGAATATATGCTTTATGAATTATTAAATAATTCTATACGTGGTGTTATGTTGAAATTTTCTCCTTCTTTAAAACATGTTTCTGAACCACCTGAACTTTTACAACAATTTCAAAAACTTGAACGTTTAAAATCTCCTGATATTAGTAAGGATCCCTCATCAATATATCCTCCGATTTCTGTAACGATTAGCTCAGGTCCTACAGATTTATACTTTAGAATATCGGATCAAGGAGGTGGAATTTCTGATGAGATTTATCCTCATATATGGTCATTTGCTTCTACTCCAACTTTAAATAATAAATTTGAAAATTTTGTTAAAGTACCTCAAATGGCTGCTAAGGTACAAGAATACGAACAATCGATCATCCCTCCTACTTTACATTTAGGCATTGGATTACCCATGAGTAAGGTTTATGCTGAATATTGGAGTGGTGGATTAACGCTGTTTACTATGGACGGTTATGGTACTGATGCTTACGTTAAAATTTCTAGACTTGGTAATAGAGAAGAAAATTTAGAGTAAATCTTTTAAATTTCGACATAAATTTAAAATTTTATTTTTATTTATTTAATTTTTTAAAAAATGTATATATATATTTTTAAATAATTGAATAGTTTTATAGTTTAGCAAGCAAAAAAAAAAAAAGTTCCTATCAATTAATGGCAATATTTAAATTTTTTTTTTTTTTTTTATGCTTAGTGAAAATCAAATTGTCATTATATCTTATCATTAACGTTCGATGATGATTTAATCCTCCTTTCTATAGCGTAGTTGTGTTCCATAAAGGAAAAACCCCGTTTGTATAAATTCATCCATCACAGTATGATAGGTGAATCAAATACACATTTCATATATCCATGTGTACCCAAACTTTCTTTAATATGTCCCGTACGTCCATATTTGGTTGTTAATTGTACGGGCTTAACCAGAATCCACAATGAAATAAGTGGGTCTTTAAATTTTTTAAAAAAAGAAAAAAAAAGGTACATAATTAATAATACCCTTATGATACAGATAATATTTGACATAGAATAACTATAGTATCAAATGCCAAGTAATATAAAAATCGAATGTTACCGAATCATTATCATTGTCTCTTTTCCCAGAAACAGTGATCTAGCAAATAATTGAATAATTTTACGCGTAAAATTATATTAAATTATATAAAAGACGCGATAAACCGCCTTTTTTTTTATTAAATCCCTCGGACCTGTTCAATTGAAAATCACCAAGTTCTGCAATTTTGTTTAGTAAGTTGAGTGCTAAGTCATCCTATAAAAAAATATATATTTAGTTAAAATCAAAAATATCTAATATCATAATGAATTTATCTGAATTTGATCTGCAGAATGAATTTTTCATCAAAGAAATAGTTAATATAACTAAGTGAAACTTTTTCCATTTGCTAACAATTATCATTTATATAAATAAAAATCACAAATACCGCAATTTTTAGGAATTCCATGCCTTCCTTCAAAAATCTGTTCGTTTTCAGCACCTCTTTTCTCTTCTTTTATTGTCCCATTTTCGCCGCATTACGTCTATCAACTCTTGAAATTGAACGCGTTTCTGCACTCGAGTGCTTTATAGATTTCCTGCTGCTTTACCTAATGACAAAATTTAACATATTACGTCGTGCAAATTTGAAATTTTCTTAAAGAATTTTCCTTTCATTTTGTCTTGAATGGCTCCATTTTGTTGCATTTTAGACTTAAATGGCTTATTGATCTTGTTGATTGAACCTGTCTTATGATGAATGGTTTTCGATAAACATGGGTAGTATGATTCAAACACGGTACACACTAGTGACGCAATACTATTATCACGTGATTCTTCTCTGAATCGTCGCTCTGGACTTCCTAACAGTTTCTGTTACCTAGTTTTATTAATACTCTAGTTAAAGATGGTATAATAACTAGTTACAACCCTATAATGCTTATTTGTCAACAGTTATAACTAGTTGCAACTCAATTTTTAATTATGTCATAACTAGTTACAACTATGTAATGCGATGCTTATTTATCAAAATATTTGTTATTATTTTAAACTGATTTAATTAATTTTAAGCTTTAAATTACAAATTTATCAACTTTATTACAATAAATTTAATTAAATTTAAATATTTCAGTTATTATATTTTTAAATTCTAAAAAATAATTTATAAAAAGTTTATATTTAACTTATATAAATATAAATTATTATTTAATAAATATAATCTAATATAAGAAATTTAAAAATTAAGATTTTAACTTGTAATTTATTTGAAATTTTATTTAGGTTTTAGCTAATTAAAAGATATGTTTAAATAAATTTTAAATTTATAAATGATATATTTAAGGTTATTAAATAAAAATCTAGAAGATTTATAGATTGTTTAAATATTAAAGATAAAATTATATTAAAAACTTATTAAGTAATTTATGAAACTTAAAAAAAAGTAAAATTATATCAAATTAATAAAATGGATAAAATCCTAATAAAAATTAGCAAAACGAAATAGAAAAGTATTAGAAAATGATTAAGTAAAGATTTTTTATATAAGTAATTTTGATTAAAACTTGATATAATTAAATATATTTTATTAAAAAAGATTATTTTTTTGCAAAAATAAAAGTTTTTAGCAAATTTTTTTTATAAATCAAAACAGAATGGAAAATGTTAATTTTACATTTTATATAATACAAGAATATAATACAATAATTATAAAATACATAAATATCTATGTTACCAAATAATTTTATAATATATTAATATCTAAGCCATTTTAATGATAATATAATTACAAATTATTTTTCAAATTGATTATACTTATACTTTTTGATAATTTTAAATAAAAATAAGCATACAGCAGCAATGAGAAAAATATAATAATAATATCAATAATTATGATGTAAATAGAAAAATAAACTTTTTTTAATAAGTAAATTCAAATAATTTAATTCATATCATATATCATTAAGGAGTAGAGAGATTTAAGCATGTTAAATGGTTAATTGATATTTAAAAACAAGGTATACATAAAAAGATTATAATATAATATACAATATAGTAATCTACAATTATAAGGTTATATTACAAGCTTTAAAAAGTTTCAATTCTTAAACTTGAATAATTTTTACAATGGCGATAGATCCATGTTTAGTTGAAGGCCAAAAAACCATTGTAGAATTGAGTTTAACGTTTAATCTTTTTCGCTAAATAATTTGAACATTTTAGAAATGATCGACAATTGAACTGTGCCAATACTGGAACACTTCGTATTTGTAGACCTATTGACTAAGAATAAATAAAACTTTAAGACATAGACATTGGTTAAACTTGATGTGAGCAAATTGCAAGATATTTTTTTTATTATATGATGGTTGGAAACTAGCTACATAAGCATTATTATTTGCTATTTTCGGTAAAATATACTAATATAAGGAAAGAAAATGGAATAGTTGGCAAACTGTAATTCAAGCAATTTTGCCATCAGCCCACTTCTAGCAAAAAAACCATTTTTGCAGGTGAAAGGTTTCATTGTTCTTGACATAGTGACATGACTGAGAATCTTTCTAAAACAAATAAAATATACAACATATAAAGATTTCTTCAACTCTTCCACCCGACATTTGCTATATTTAAAAAAATTTTGCCACCCAGCACCAAAAAAAAAAAGCCACCTGATACATTTATAATTAAAATTTAATTATTAATTGTATTTAGTTCTCCAGGTGTTTTATATCCCTCTTTAAACGGCGGCTTTCTTATATTCCCCTTTGCCGGCTCTTTAGGAATATCAAAAAGGGTTCTCTTAACTACTATCAATTATCGTATCTTGACTTGACGTGTCGTCAAGTACATTATATTATGATAACGAGTCTAAAACAAATAAAATATATAACCTATAAATATTTCTTCAACTCTTCTGCCCTGTAATAATCCCGGCTTTACCGGCTCTTTAGGAATGTCAAAAAGGGTTTTCTTAACTACTTCCCATTTTTTCATCAATTATCGTACCTTGACTTGCCGTGTCGTCAGGTATGATAACGAATCGTTATTTTGGTCATCGACCAGCTATTCCTCGAGAGGAACGGGGTATATTGTGAACCACCATTTCCTGATAGAAGTTTATCATAAGCATTACTCCAAGTCCTTCGTCAGATGCATCGGTTTAATAATAATGGTCTTATTCAGATCTGGTTGGACGAGTACTGGTGCAGTGATCATTATAGATTTCATATCGTAAAAGAATCCTAAGAGTAAAATTTTGTTCAAGTTTAAAGGCATTATGCGCTTGCGCTTTGGAAACTCCAGGTATACTGTTAATTTATTAATATCCCAATCACTCGCGCTTTCAGTAATCTATGCAGTGACTTATGTTTCTTCCTATTAGCGGTAATTATAAAAAGTATGAAGTTCGGAAAAATGTGAGAGGCAAATCGGAAGGTTGGAAACATAATTTCCAATCCAATTTTTATACCATTGGATAAAATGCACATCACTGCATTAAATTAACCAATCCTAAATCAACGAATTTTGATCGGCTTATTTGATCATCCAATAAATTTAAAAGCATTTTTATTAAATCAAGCCAGATGAATTTTTTGCTATTGTTACTGTATTTAAGAAGGAAATTTTGCTGTTGCTATTAAAATTATAATATTTAATTAAAGTATATAAACAGGTTCTAATGAAAAGTTTATTAAGTTTCTTTTAAAAACTCTAAAAAAAAATGTCATTTTTACATTTAATATGGCTATAGTTAAAAAAACTATCAAAATTCACTTCTTTTTTAGTTTACAAAATCAAATCATTGATTATTTATTACTCAAATTCATAGTTAAAAGTTACCAATTTATTTATTTTTATACATATTAAAGATTCAAACATTTCAAAAAATAAAATGTAAGTTTTTATTATCTATTACATTATGATAATCATAAGTTTAAGTTTTAACTAAAGCATAATTTTCATTATAAATGAATATGTAAATAATATATACTAACATGTATATAAAACTAGTTAATTAATCTATTGATTAATATAAATTATGTTTTAACTGAATCTTAGCTTTTATTGATAAATCTTAATAAAGACTTTTTATATTATCAAATAGCAGAGACCTTACTTTATAAATATAAAAGTAATTAACCAGTAATTAAAAGATTAAATACTTCTTATAAAAATTATAATAATAAAAAATTATATTGTATATTATAGTATTATCCATCAAACTATTATTAGAAATAGTAATTAAGTTTAATTTTTTAAGTATTTTAATAATATAAGTATAATAGTAACTAGGAAATAAAAACTGTTGATATATTTAAAGCATTATAAATCATATGATTATATAAAATAATAAAAAACAAAATAAAATATCACTAAACAAATATAACACTAAAAAGTTTTTCACAAAAATATGTATTGATATTTTGTTTAAAAATAAATATTTTTTAAAAAAAATAAAATAAAAAAATTTACAAAATTTGAAAAAAGATTTTTTTATATAAATATATTCTGTATTATTATAAAATATA